GTGGATGGATAGATGGATGGATGGATGATGGATAAATGGATGAATGGATGGATGGAGGGTGGGTGGGTGGGTGAGTGGATGGAGGGAGGGATGGATGATGGATGGATGGAGGGTGGGTGAGTGAATGGATGGATAGAGGAAGGGTGGGTGGATGGATGATGGATGGATGGATGGATGGATGGATGGATGGAGGATGGGTGGGTGAATAGATGGATGGTAGATGGATGGATGATAGAAGATAGGTAGGTAGGTAGGTGAATGGATTGGTAAATAAATAGAGACAGACAGACAGACAGACAGACAGACATAGATACAGGAAATTACTGCATTGAAAACAAAATGAAAAGGGCTTTATTTTTCTATGGATTTTTTTTCACTCTTTACCAAAGAGGAAACTTATAGAGGCAAAAGGCTAATTCTTTTTAAAAGAATTCCTAAAGCAAAACACGCGGTTGCACAGTGATTTAGGCATTTTTCTTCAAGCCTGTCCTTCCGGAGGAATCCTGAAGCTCAAAATGTTCGTAAGCCACCCAGCGTTTCCCTCAGACGAGATGGCCGGCATACAAGTCTAATCCACAAACAAACAAACAAAATGGCACGTTTGAAACTCTCTTTCTTGGTAAGGCTTGCAAGCACATATTAAAAGTGGCTGGGCTTCAATCATGACACCACACCCAGCCCCTTTCTCAATATCTACATCCTTTCATTTCACAAAGAGGATCTCAGTGTTGCCGGGTTGTGTATTTGGGGACTTATTAGAATTGTTTACCTCCGGATGAATGTGATGTATGTTATTTCTTTATCATTCTTATTCTGTTTTGAGGGGATCCGTTCTTTCTTTTTGTTGCACTTTTGAAGCGGTTGTTTTAAATATTGGTTCTCTTTTCTAACTTCTGTTTTTAATTATTGGGTTCACTGTCAGGAGTGTTTTGAAAACAGAAAAGCAGAAAAAGAGTTTTTTAAAAATAAAAATAAAAAATAGAATCAATAAATAAACAAAACCTGCTTGGCCTCCACTAGGAAGCTGAATACTAAGCAATTCTAAAAAAAAACATTAGGTGACTGTCTTGTCTTCAACAAACCGTATTTTTCATCTGTTTCCATCCATTTGACAGGTTCTCTGATGCTATTTCCATAGAGGATTCGGCTCAGCCTTGCTAGACTCTCTGGAAGAGAAGAGAAGAGAAAAGAAGGGAAGGGAAGGAAGGGGAGGGGAGGGGAAGGGAGAAGAGAAGAGAGGAGAAAAGGGGAGGGAAGGGAGGGGAGAGGAGAGATGAGAGAAGGGAAGAGAAGGGAAGGGGGAAGGGAAGGCAGTAGAGGAGAGGGGAAGGGAGAGGAGAGGAGAGGAGAGGAGAGGAGAGAAGAGGAGAGAAGAGAAGAGAAGAGAAAGAAGAGAAGAGAAGAGAAGAGAAGAGAAGAGAAGAGAAGAGAAGAGGATTAAAAGATAATGAGTGAACCCACAACAAACCTACTGTAAAAATTATGGACATCTAAAGATACAGTCCTTGCATGGTGGTGCCTCAAGCCTTGTCTTCCAGTTGGTTTCTGAAAATTCAGCTGTTCAGAACCAGCCCTCGAAAAACTATCTGCACTAAAATAATATTGCCAACCAGCCACAAGAGAAATAAAAAGAAAAGGCAAAAGGACACACCGTCCCACTTTACAAGGGAAAAATGCGGCTACTGAGAAGGGGAAAAAGAAGAAAATGCTCTCAAATGCTCCATCAAGACGATCTAAAGAACTTTCTGAAGAACTCTTCACTTGATCATTTCCAGATGGAGAACCTTGGTTAACCAGAAAAACGTTCCAAGTTTCAGGAGGAGAATTAACCTAAGAAAAGAGAAATACCATTTAGTCCATAGAAATTAGGCAATTATATTAAACATGTAATGATGATAATATTTTATAAGTATTTTATTATTATCATCATTATAAATTTATTCTAACCCCCTAACTTCTATGGACTGAATGGCATTTATGAGAGGTTCTTAGGTCTTCGGTGGAGAAGTCAAGTGATACTGAGATAATTCCTCCATGTGTTAAGACAGAAGACTTATACATACATCTTTAACCCCTGTGTAATTGAAGCAACTCAACTGGATAAGTATATTTTCTTCCACCTAAAACAATAGAAATACACAAACACACAGACACACATCCCAATTATCTTTAAAAGATTTGTGAGAAATTAAAAAGATCAATGCTGCCCCAAACTTCAACCTTACCCCCAAAAGTTCAGTTCTAACTAAACTTTGTCCCACAACATCTTTCTTGATACAAATAGCCCTGTGGATGGCATTTGTATTGTTTGCCTGTTCATTTCCAGACTCGTTTTCAAAAATAGCTCTTGCTATCCACCTTTGCTAAAACCACAAGCGCTGAAAAATTATATTTTCTCACTCATAAATTTACTACCTAGACCAAGGGTAGGCAGATGGGGGTTCGCATGGGTTCGTGACAGCCCCAGCTAAGATTCTGTGCAGTTCAGACAAACCCCAAATCCTACTCCTGGCTGGTCCCGCCCACCCCTCTCCTCCCCTCCCAGGAGTCCCAACATAGCCCATTTTGGATGCAAGTAAGTGCAGGGTACATGCAGAGGCTCAAGGGAGAGTGAAAACCAGGCCTCCCGGAAGTTTGGGAAGGCCGGAAATGGGCCCATTCAGGGTTGGGATTCTACCAATTCACACCTATTCGCTAGAACCAATTGTTAACATTCTAGGCAGTTTGGAGAACCGGTTGTTAGAAGAAATTACTGGCCTAATCCTGTAAGGAAGGCAGGAAGGAAACGTTCTGGAGTTGCTTACAGAAACTGCCTGTTAACCCTTATTACATTCTTGGCAGGACTCTGCTTGTGAGTTGCATGGCTTATGGGGGAGGAAAGGGCCCTGATTCCCTTCATTAGCTGCAGCTGGGAAAACAGTGTTTAAAAAGGCAAGCTATGCACAGCAAAGTTGCTAGAAGTAAACTGTGAGTTATCTTTGTTTGTCGAGGCTTATCTGGGTTCCTGGCATCTTCCCAACTGTGTGTGTTTTGTTGGCCTTTGAGTTCTGCAATTCCTTATCCTGCCCTGTTCGGTTAACTGCTGCAGCATGGTTTCTGTGGATTTTTATTTACAGTTTATATGTACTTTGTTTTCAGACTGAATTTCCT